CGATGCTGGATCTTCTAACCGTAAACCCGTTAATCTGTGGCCGGGGATGTTTCATTCCCCTGCCATATACGCTCTCTGGGAAGCCAGATCCTCCACTTTGGAAAAAACCAATGGCCCCTCTCTTCCCAAAGCCCCCTCCCGAAGCAGAACCACCATCTTCTACAACTTCTCCTCTGATCACATGCTTCGTGAGCAGTATCGGAACCCTTGGAATCACATCAGGATGGGCAAGCTGGTCGAGGACTTTGATGCTCTCGCTGGCACCGTTGCATTCAAGGTCTTCTTCTTTTTCCAATTTTACTTCTGGGTTATGTAATTTGCTGGATTGAAAATCTTGGGTTTTGCTCATTTTGATCGAACAGCTTCAAGTTATGTTTTTTTTTTTTCTTTTTTGTGCTGTCAATCACTTGTTTCGTCTGACAAAGAAACTCCTGTTAGTTGTTGACATATTTTTAGGTTTGTTAAAGAGAACAATTGAAAATAGTTTTTTTATGAATTAAAATGAACTTATGCTTCTAAAAGTTGTTTAATATAATACATTTTCCCTAAATTTGTTGTCCGTAAAATAATTTTAACTTACTAAGGATTTTTCTTTTCTTTTATTTAGAAGTGCTTGTAGAAATTTGTCTAAATATAGCTATACTTTTTGGTTGTGCATTGTGCAGAGCCAAAAATAAATAAACATTTACTGTAAAGGAAAAGTAAATTATTTTTGTCGCTGTGGAAATATTCATCAGTGGATGTTTTCATTCAGAAGTGTGTTGCTAACAGTACTTGGGGAGATTTTTGTATTTGTTGGTTTTGGTTATTGAAGCTTTTTCCCCCACTTCTGAGCAGCACTGTTCTAATGAAGATGGCACAGCAAGGCCCCTTCTACTGGTCACTGCTTCTGTTGATAAGATGGTTCTAAAGAAGCCAATACATATTTCTGCTGATTTAACCATTGTTGGTGCTGTTACCTGGGTTGGCCGGTCATCCATGGAGATTCAACTGGAATTGATTCAGTCCGCACAAGGTCCTATAGGATGAATACAAGTTTATCCTGCTTTTTGGCCGTTGTTTTATGAAATTATGGTTTATTTTTTTAATTATAATAATAAGTGCTCAGAAATAGACAGATAACATGTTACTATATACAGAATAAGAATCTGAGAAACTTGCTTAGGGAATACGTCATAGAGATGAAATAGAACGAAGGGTCTATCTGAAGAGAATACAACATCTATTTATTGAGAAAAGGTAGTGAGGGCTATGAGCTTGTAGCTAACTGACAAACTCTAACACAACAATTTACTTTACATCAATTATAAAGTTACAACAACCATTAGCTTTATAGGTTAATACATGTATTGTGTCATGAATTTTGCTCAATTTTCTTTCCATTGTGTTTATGTTTATTTTCATTTAATGCAGCGTGTTTACTGTAAGAAAGCCAATGTAAGAACCACAACCGCTTCATTTGAGTGTTCACAGCTAGTTAATCTGAAACACATCAAAGTTTGGTTATTATTTTTTCCAAATTGGTGGTGCAAACCCTTTGTAGGATGAAGGCTTATTAAATCCCTTATCCCTTATCTATCCTAGTCTGCTGTCTAGCGTGAACATTTACTTGCTGCTGTAAATAACATGAAAACGTTCAGAATGACGGAAGTAAAATTCCAATGATGGAGTAACCAGGGGATGAGCATTTTCATATATATTACTGGATTACTTTTCTTTTCTCTTAATATAGTTCGCTGCACTAGTAGGTTCTTGTATCAAAACAGCAAACAAATATTGATTAAGAGCCCGTTTTTTATGTTCTAGTTTTGTAAGCTCAAATCATATCTTTGTAATGTTTGTCTTTCAATTCCCTTCCAGTTCTGCATGGCATTCGTTATCAGCTTACCTGACACTAAAACTTGGTGACAGGGAATCCCAATATATCGAATTCACCTGCACTTGTAGCCAAGTTTACATTTGTGGCTCGTGACTCTGCCACAGGAAAAGCTGCCCCGATTAACCAGGTCTCACCTGAAAATGAGGAAGAAAGATTGCTCTGGGAGGAAGCAGAAGAAAGGAACAAGTTAAGAAAAAGAAGGAATCAAGAACAGAAACATGGAGAGTGTGAAGACACTTCTAGGCTCAAAGCACTATTGGCTGAAGCACGTATCTTCTGTGACATGCCAGCACTGGCTAACAGAGATAGCATCCTGATGACGGATACTTGCCTACAAAACTCTTTTATCTGCCAGCCACAGCAAAGAAACATCCATGGCCGTATCTTTGGGGGATTCTTGATGAGAAGAGCCTTTGAACTTGCCTTTTCAACTGCTTATGCCTTTGCTGGTGCTGCTCCTCATTTCCTGGAAGTTGATCATGTCGATTTTTTTAAACCAGTAAGTACCCACCAAGGACAATACTATTTCTTCTAAATATACAATGATGTTGTAATCAGTAGTAATCTCTGGTCCTTATCATTCAATAATGGAACTCTCCACCCTCTAAGGGAATAGATAATCATGATGATCTCATTTATGTGATCATCACTTTGGTACATGGACTGGGTAGAAAAACATTGGTAAAGGTTATATTCCATAGAAAAGACATTTAAAGAAGACATTCAACTGAAACAAGTTGATGATGCAGGTGGACGTTGGAAATTTTCTTCGTCTCAAATCTTGTGTTCTGTACACGGAACATGACAACTCAGATGAACCCCTTGTGAATGTTGAGGTTGTTGCACATGTGACAAAGCCTGAGCACCGCTCTAGTGAGGTATGCACTATACACATTATATAACAACTTTTCTTCTGACACAAAATTTAGTTGTGAAAAGACATCTTGTCTTTTATAATTTGAGAGAGAGCAAAGAGGTACTAGGACTGTTGTCGGCAAAGCCCTGCTAATCAGTTAACATCAGATTATATATCTATTATCTAATGGAATACAAAAAATGAATGCCTCACTTTGATTTGAAATTTACATGTTCACATCATGCTTTTCTCCAAACAGGTATCTAACAGATTCTACTTCACATTTGGGGTTGATCCTGAGGGTATTAAAAATGGGTTAAGGATTCGACATGTTGTTCCTGCTACAGAAGAGGAAGCACGGAAGGTGCTTGAACGCGTTGATGCTGAGAACTTAACTTTGGTTAAAAAAGATGGCAATCTTCAAGTGGTAAAGGAGCACAAGAGTACACCTAACACAAATATCTTACGGAGTAGCTTACGGAGTAGCTTACCGACTATCAGTGAACCTTTGTTGATTGACCTTCGTAAGCTATTAAATTAATATTATTTTTCAAGACAACTTCAGTATTGTCAAGTAGTATTTAAGGAAATAGATAGGGTTAACTTAATTCTGAGTCGTCTCTCAATGAACACGGAATTGTTTTTGAATATCTGACTCTTATGAATGTTATGCAATGCTTATGAATAAAAGTAATGGTTTAAGAATGTTTAAAGAATAAATAAGAAACTTAAAAACAGTTATGATGAAATAGGCTAATTCCACTGCTTTTCCAAGATAGATTCATCATCGGTTATTCACAGATAGGTTCAATTGATTATTATTTAAGTTTCAAATTAATTAAAGTATATTCTTAATTAATTTGAGGGCGATTATGCCTTTAACCAAAATAAATTTTCAATTAAATGCAAAACCTTACTAGATTATTCACAATAAATTCAACCAAAGTACATTCTCAATTGTATTTAATTATGTTTATTCTTAAATTTCCTAACCAAATTAAAAGTTAATCAATCAAAGTAAATTCTCAATTGATTATAGTTGAAATTATTACTAATCAATCATAATAAAAATCATTTAATCATATGAAAGTTCCTAAATTAAATCAAAGTAGATTCTCAATTAATCCTAGAAACCTTAGAACTCATATAATCAATATGCATGTAGATTCAAACACATTATGATGCAAAAATCTTTACTTTTAATTTGATAGAGAGATGAAAGACATAGAGAGAGAACAACTTAAATTAATAATCAAAATAAACAATTGCATTAACTCAATCTAAGCTCATAATCCAAGAGTTGAATACAAGATGAAAGAAAAGTGAGAGGAGTATGAGAGAATGAATGAATGAAGTGAAGTCCCCCTAGGTCTCTTTATATAGGGCTTGATGGACTCTGAATATTCAGTTGACAAAATCTATCTTATATCTTCCAAATAACTAAAAGATTTAGATAATTATAACATTATTTGAAAGATATTTTCTGTGATATTTCCAAATTACATTAATTCAACAAGTGAATTTTATCTTTTAGTTTTTCTAACTTTCCAAAATTGTACAAATGCCTAAAATTTCTTCTATCTGCACTTTAATCCCTTCTGAATTTTTCAAATAAAATCTGATTTTGGATCTTGAATTATCATTTGGACCAATAAAACTTATATTTTCAGCTGCATAAATAAACATTACAACATCCAAAAATAATTTATGCCCTAAAACTCACTTTTTACATTTTTTTATTTCTCAAACCTAACAATTCCAACCATCAAAAATTTACTTAAAATCAACCATTTAAATACAATTATTTCATCAATTAAATTTTAAAACATAAATATGAACATAAATATGCACTTATCGTACCTCTAGGTCGAAAATCAATCACAAACTATATTCGTTCTGGAATTTTTAAGGATGTTTTTATTTAAGTTTTGGGCCAATTATGGCATCGTTCTACGTGGAACAACTTTTATGGTGCACCGTAACAACTACTGTTTTAGTAATTTCAACATATTACTCTCACTATCAGTTTACATCAAAATTTGGGAAAAACAGCCAAAATTTCCATTAATTTATTAATACAGATATAGAAATGCAGCCAACCTAGCATAAAGAAAATAATATCCTCGTTATATAATCTAGGAATAATATCCTCGTTATATAATCTAGGAATAATATCCTCGTTATATAATCTAGGCAATAAAACATATACAGAGCTATATATGCAGGAAAACAAAGAGCTGTGATGGCATGAGTCCTTTTTTCAGAATCATCATCATCATGACAGGCAAGGGATAAAGCTGCTGGGTCTTTAGCTAAGTCGGTGATTTTTGAGTGAAAACGTCACTTCGATGATGATATTTGGATGATAAAATCTAACCCGTCACTGACCAAACATTAGCAAACTACTTCAACCTGTTATAACTTGGTCAGTTTAGTCAGATTCGGAGGAATCGGATGGTTGCTTACCAATAATCTCAGGAAAAAAGGATTGCATTATAGGATTTGCAGGCATTACAGAATGACGCGAACCAACCAAAGTTCTCTCATTCACTTTACCAACTTCCTTGCAAACACCATCTAGAATAGAAAGGAAATCCCTCACAACCATAAAAATTCTAAATGGATGAGCTTCTTCCTTTGCCGAATTTCCATGGAAATACTCAGTTATCTCCTTCACCGAAGAGAAACAATTTTTCTCTTGGGCCTGGATTGTTGAAATCTCTTGCTCTCCCCTTTCCAAGAAACCTGTCATCGCCTCCGAAAACTTTTGGTTAGTTTCTTTCAAAGGAGACTCCTCATTCAATTTCACTACTTGCATAACTTTGTCAATTCCTCTGGCAAGTTTGGCAACATCACTACTGAGCATGTCTGAATCCATAGCAGCTGCTTTTTTAACATTGGTGAGCTCCCCGCTAAGTCCCGAAACAATTTGCAGACCAAGCTTTTTCAAGTCAACCTCATCTTGAAGACTGTATTGCTGGACATTGTCAGAGGCATGTTGATGGTTAGAACCAGAAACATGAGAACCCTCGGTTCTGACAATTTCCTGTACAACAAAATGCAACAGAGAAGTCTTTCCATCAGTTCCTTTAATATCAGCTAACTTCAAAAGTGTGTCCAGTTTGAACGCATGAGCATCACCACGATTGGTGCCAACATTCATTCTATTTCCAGTTCTTAACACTGCTTCAAGTATCTTCAAAAACATTCGACTATTCTTTAATTCCTCACAGGCCACCTGTGGAAAAGGATGAATATGAGAAGTTCAGAACAACTGGTGTATTGGTACAAATTAAAGTAAGCAGACTCTAGTTTGTGCCTACCTAATCAATCACTATGGCAAAAGGATTATTTTGGAAATTTCCATCTTTGGCAAACTTTTTTTAAATAAGTAAACAATAATGCGATTTTTTAATATATATATAACATAATGCATTAATATTGAGAGTAAACAGGGTTATTTTGACAAATTTAGCATCCTAAAAGAAAGACCGTATTTTCCTGAGGTAAGATGATTTGGTGGAAGCTAGTAGTTAGCCAACCACTATTCTTAAAGAAAAACAAAACTTCTCCCTTTTCGTCTGAAGGTATAGCTTACAACCTCTACTCAAACATGACCAAATAATTATAACTTATATTCTCTGCCGTGAAACTTTTGTATCTACAGAATATAGACACATGATTGCCCATCACAGAACCAGTATCGACACCAAATGTCATTCCAAGGAAGTCATGCTGAAGCCAAAAGCGATCAAGTTGGTTCATAACATCCCACTTAAGCACACAAAATGACCAAGTTGAAGGAGTGAGGAATAAGTTCAGAATACATATACCTCCAGAGTTTCAAAGGACTTTTTAAGGTATTCTAATTCTGAATCAAAATTAGCAATGTAGAGCATAGCATCCACTCTCTTAAAAGCGAAAGGTATATCAAGAACAACTTTGAGAAATTTCTCAGCTGGGCCAAGCTTGAAGGGCGATTCATCTTGAAATTCCTTCAGCTTAGATTCTTCATCTTTAGTCGGAGCCATCTTTAACAAACTTTCAAGAAGTTCTGTTCCCAACGTATCACAATTTCCTGCAGACAGTAAAATTTTAAGCTTTAATATCTCCCCCAAAAGTAGAAAAGCTTAGGAGAGAAAGAAGAGAAGCAGTGTTGTTCAACAAGGTATAATAATTATACCACATAATTTCTTTCATGAAAATCAGTAAGTAGCTATGACATGGACAGCGCATTGCATAAAAAAAATGTCTGATGTTATGCCAGAAAAAGATTAAAAATATTATAGGAGTTTTGGATATCACCAACCCTTGAATGATAATGAAGTTTGGAACGCTACACAGACAGACACAAACAATAACATAATAGGCATATAACACGTAACATAAGTAATTGTGGCAAAATGACAATAAAGAATAAGCATTGCTGTCTAAACAATTACAAATGGCTCCATCACCTTCTCTGAGGGCATCACAAACTTCATCAATGGTAACATTGAGAGCCCTAAGCAAAATGGCAATGTTCTGAGACTTCTTAGGGTCAAGGACCCTATTCTCCATGGGCATGGGAGAAGCAGAATGAACTATGTGGCGCCGAGCATTGTCTCTAATCGCAACCCCGACACCCTCCTTGGAATTATTTACCATAAAAAGCGTTTCAATCATATCCTCGTTCAACCTGCACCTCGAATCATTCAGCTCCCAACACAACAAGATTAATCAAAACAATATACAGTCCAATGATATCTTACTGAAAAGAACTGGGTCTCAACTGGTCCCAAACCATGACCCTGTCCGAGCTGGCCTTCACTTTATCCCAATGTAAAGCTTTCAACTTTGGCTTCGGTGTCTCCTCGCTCACTTTCCTAACAGAAACTGGAGCTTCCCAAATCCGAGGCGGCGGAGGTGGCGGCGGTGGTGGAGGAGGTAAATTTCTCGCGGGAGAATTTTGGTCCCTTGAAGGAACATGCCATTCTTCCCTGGGAGAAGAAGATGATGAAGAGAAAGAAGGAGAAGCATGGTTGTGCGGAGGGAGTGATTTAACACTTGCGGGGCTGAAATTAAGAGACGGGGAACGAGAGAAAGAGAGGGAATTGGAACGAGGGTACGAAGGGGTTCGAGAAGTGAAGCTTGTAGAACTGATTTTATTATTCACGTGCGAACTTGAAGCAGCAACGGCTAAAGGAGAAGGAGGACTATGTTGATTGTTCCCACCAGAAGAACTTCTTGGAGAAAAAAACTGTTCATCTTCTTCTTCTTTTTCTGCCTCTTCTTGTTGTTCCACTTTTTCTTTCACATTTTTATCACCGTCATCTTCATTCATCCATGGTTTGAATTTGTGACGTGGCAAAGGTGGGAGTGGGTTCAGTTCCGGCGAGTCGCCGAGTTTTTGATACGGTGGCCGGAAACCGTCGTCGTGGGGGCTTGAGCTTGTGTCTAGCGTTGAGTTCACCGAGTTCGCTACCGTGCCGAGGTAGAGCAGCTCCGACGTCGGGGAGGACTTTCCGCGGGGTTTTCTATCGACGCCGTCGGAGGCGGCGGCGTTCGGCGGGAACAGGCGGAGGCTGTCGGATCTCGAGCCTTTCTCATCGTCGTCGTCATGGGTGGCGTCGGAGGAGGAAGTCCTGTTAGCGCGGCGGCGGTGGAGGAGAAAGAACGCGGCGGCAGCGAGGAGGGCGAGGGAGAAGAGGGAGAGGGAGACGGCGAGGGCGGCGGCGGAGCGGTGGTGGTGAGAGTAGGGGTGGGGGAGGAGGAGGGAGGAGATGTTAGCGGGGAAAGTAGCAACGACGGTGGGGGAAGGAGGGAGTGGAGGGGAATGGTAAGAAGGAAAGAAAGGTTTTTGCGGTGGTGGAGGCGAGAACGATGAAGAAGATGAAAATGGAAACTTGGGTAAATGGTGTTGCTTTTGGGGTTGAGGGGATAAAGCTGGAGGATGTGTTGGAGGGATAGAGATTCTGGGGAAGAGGGGTTGGTGAAGAACACGGCGAGGGTGAGGGTGTGAAGAAGAAGAAGAACAAGAAGAAAGTGTGAGAAGCAAAAGAAGAATGTTGAAGAGTGTACACATGGTGATGGTGATGGTGATGGTGATGGCGATGGTGGGTGTGTAAGAGAGTGAGAGAACAATGTTGGTGTTGATGGAGTTAATGAAGTGATGAGATGGTGAAAGACTGGTGGGGAAGAAGAGACTGGTAGGAAAGTTAGTAAGTGGTGAGTGTGCTGTGTTAGTTCAGGATCTCATGATTCTCTTTCTTCTGTTGCTGTGTTTGTTTTTACGTTGGAGCAGTAAAAACACATGATGTTGTGTTGGAGATGAGAAGTGTACGTGTACTTGTTATGTGATGAAGCTGTGAGTGTGAAGGTGGAAAATCTGCGTGCGGGATTTCAGCATGGTTTCGTGAAGTACAGTGACGGTGAAGAAGATGATGAATGTGAAGGTAAAAAGGGAATCGTAGCGATACTATTAATCTCTGTCTGAAAAGTTGCGATCTCTTTCTTGTCCTCATGCACTGATGGCGATTTCTTTCTTCTCACTTGACCAACAAAATTTCAGAACACTCTTTTATTGCATGTCTCGTGTGTCATCACCCAATATAATATTCCTTAAAACTATTTATCGATATGAAATCATTTATTTTTTTAATTATTTCTCTTTATATATAACTTCAAATAAATTTGTTTAGTGTGAATTTTTAACCACAATATTTATAAAAGTTATATTAGAATAAATATGTACTTGGATATTTAACTTTTATCCAAAATTAGATTTCGTCTTTTACAATAAAATAAAATAAAATTTTAAATACTTACACTTTTATTTTTATTCTAATTCTTATAAGTAATAAATTATTGACTACAACTTTTTTCAGATTATATTTTTGTATTCCTTACGTAGAAATGTATATAATATATAAAATGTGTTTAAATCCTCGTTTGGTCCTCATATTTGTGTGTCAATCTCAAGTGGATCATCGTGTTTTTTTCGGTCTCAATCGACTCCATAAACTTATAAAAATGAGCCAATTAAGTCATCTCCGTTAAGTTATCACTAATGTCGTATGTCTGTGATGACTTAAGCAGTGTGAGAGAAAGAGGAACGAGAGAGAGGAGAACACAAACCTGGAAAAGCCCCAACACAAAAGATCCAGAGGACGCCGCGACTAGTGGGGCGCCGCGGCCGGTAGGGCGATTCTGGGAGGGCACCGGTGGGGCGATTCTAGGAGGGTTTTGGGTTTTCTGTGACAGTAGAAAAAATATAAAAATTTAACATATCCACGTGGAATTGTTGATTGTAAAACAGATCAACCAATTCAATTTAATATAAAATGCCACGTCATATAAAAAAATAACAGCTCAGCACAGTTAGACGCCGTTAGTGATAACTTAACGGAGTGGACTTAATTGGCTCATTTTTACAAGTTTATGAACCCGATTGAGACCGAAAAAAACACGATGATCTACTTGAGATTGACACACAAATATGAGGACTAAACGAGAGTTTAAACCTATAAAATACTATTGTTAGTCAAGAAAAAAATGTATTTTCCTTTTTAATTTTAAAAGGTTAAATATTTTTAAAATTTTTCAACTTTAATGTGAAATTTGATTTTATCTATTTCAAACTTTTATTTATTTTTATTTCAAACTTTATTAATGAATAAATGTAAATTTTATGATCGAACGCGACGTTGTCATGTATTTGTGTGACGTTAATGTAAACGATTTATCATATTAATAAATCTTTAATATTATTTAGTCATGTAACAACCGACGTTGTCATATATGTATTTGTGTGACATGGACATAAACACAGTAATACCGTTTGTCATATTAATAAATCTTTAATATTGTTTAGTCATGCAAACTACATCTAATAATTAATAAAGTATATGAGAATGTTTCATAGTTTCAAACAATTATAAAATCTAATTTTACATAGGGATCAAAATTATATTAACCTAATTATTTTTCAACCAAAACTATTTCAAAATATCATAAAATTATAAGACATTAAAAAAGTTTGAATTGTGTTTTAAAAGTTTTCCCAAATTTTTTAAATATCATTATTTGAGTTAGTTTATGATTCGTTTCATTTATGAATATTAGATGATATAATAATATTTTCAGAATTTGAGTTTTGAAGATTATTCTTTTTTTTAAGTTAGTTTGACAAATCTAATATGGTAAAATAAAGGAAGAAGAGCAACTCACAAATTTTACATTGGTTTTTTTAATAGTGCATACTATCTCTAGTTCTAGGTCAAGCCAATCAAATTCCACTAATCAGACTATCTATATGAAATACAAGTATTCTTTTACCTCTCAGACATTTTGGATTATCCTTGTTAAAGTATTCTTATTAGAAGTTAGTTTTAGCTTGACTATTCTTTCAACAAATCATTTCAAACTCAAACCAAATATTTTTTATACATCTTTATGGGAAGAAGATCATGCTTGTTACTGTTCATGAGTTTATAACATTACAACATCTTAATGTAAAAATAAAAAAAGAAAAAACATGTGTTACAATTATTCAGTGTAAATAATTACTTAAAAGATAATTAACGACTTTATAACAGTTTAACTTAACAATACTTCTTTAAATCTATCAATTTAAAGAAAAAAAATACTAAATCTCTTGAAAAGTGCGTGTAATTACACTTTATTACTATTCATGCTGTTTATTTTTAAAGATAAAATAAAGAATTTAAATCATGCATGAGATAAGTTATATACATTTTTATGTTTTATTTAGATGACTTGTGTTTAAATTTTATAGAAAAGTTAAAAGAGTGAAAAATAAAAAGAAAGAACAAATAAAAATGGAGTGAAAATTAATATATATAAATAATATGTGATTCGATTGATTTGATAAATTAAGTTTTATTTATTTAATTGATGAATTTGTAAAATGTTTATATTATCTTTATTTTAAAAATAAATTTGAATTTAATTTTGAGAAGTTTTTTCATATTTTTTTGTAAACTTTAAACCTTAAACAAAATAATAGATTAAAGAAATATATAAAATTGAAAGAAAAAATAGGTCGATTCTACTCCTTTAAATTAGAAATCATTATTATTTTTTAACGATTTATATTATTAATTTATAGTCTAAGATTTCAAACTACTCAATGTAACCACTAGTACAAAAATTACATTTTATATCAGTTGTTTAGAGTATAATATATCAGTTTTAGACTCGATCCAAAAACTATGGATCTATTAAATTAGATTAATCATAAAACAACCAATTTAATATATGACACTGATGTTAAAAGAAATCCTCCATTCATCTCCCTCATGCAACATCTTCCTGTCATTAGCCCATCTTCCATTCATTTAGAGAGCAAAAAAAAAAAGATAAAGCATACACATGAAATCAAGGAAACATTTGTCAGAGAGTAACAATATGCATTTCCAAACATTTATATAACACAAATATTTTCTAGAGAATAAAAAATTCTTACACACCTTCCTACCACTAGAACCATAAACCCTAAGGTTAAGAGAAGAAGAAACCAAAGACCTGGCTTCCTACCACTAGCGACGACTACTAGAACAAAAGTACCACCTTCCTACTGACGCTAAGGATGACATGTGTGAAGGCGACAATGATAGCACGAACGTCAATGCGAGCAATATAAGGGCGAGTAGTGGAATCTCATTAGCGTTCGAGTGCGACAATGTTTGAAATTAACGTGGGTGGGCTTTAGAGTGCGATGAGGATACAGGCAGTGAAGAGAGAAGAAGATGAAGAGAGAGAAAGATGAAGAGAGAAGATGGTGGAGGGTTATGCGTCTCTTGAAGAGAGAAGATGAAGACCAATGTGGAATAAAAAGAACAACATTTTATTGTAATATCCTCATTTTGCACTAGTGTGAAGTTGTAAGGGGAACACTAGAGGAAGGTGGGGGAGGGGGGGGGGTGAATAATGCTTTTAAAAATTATTTTCACAAATTAGCATCAAATAGTTTATAAAGAAGGAGTGCAATAGTTTTAAGATGATTAGACGCTAGGTTGCAATGAGATGGGTAAATGGAAAACGTTTGAATAGAAAAACAATATATCGCAAATTTTTATATTAGTTCACTCAACCTAAGCTACGTTTAGTTCTGCCTTAAGAACTCTTAAAAGGTTCACTAATCTTTTTCAAGATTACAAAAGTTTTGACTCTCTAGGATCTCACCGAGTATTCTCACCACTCTTGGTTACAACGAGTATTAGCACGACTCCTTATTTCCTAGTCAACTTGACTAGATTGAGTTTAGTCTCTTCAGAATCTAACCCTAGACAACTGTCTAAATGTCCAACTCAACCTGAGCTGAACAACCAAGTATTTGAGTTCTCTTTAGAACTTACAACAAATCCAAAAATGGATTTTTCACAAGGTACAAATGAATGACTCTCAACGGAGGATATGTGTACAAATACAATATAATTTGTAATACTTGAAAGTGTTTCTCTCTTTACAAAGATTTCTCTCTCAAAACTTAAGCATTAGATTATGTAAGATCACTTTGAGCTTTTCTCTCTTTTCTTGTTGCTTTTCTTCTTATGTAATTATGCGTTTTCTCATCAACAATTTTCAACATTTTCTCTTCAAGCTTTCTTCTATATATAACTTCTCTTGTAAGATAATCGTTGAACCAACTTCTAAAGAGTTGGTAGCTTTTCAATGTAAAGTTTGACTTTAGTCTACTTTGTAGGGTCTATAGCTTTTTCTCAAAGCCTTAAGTAAAATTTGAACTTATACAATGTGACAGAGCAATTGGCTTCAACGAAACATTCCTATAATGCTCTTCTTCTCTCACAATATCTTTTTCTGGGATGTTGTGATTCTGATCATATCATTCTTCTTTATTGATCTTCACATATATCAAGAAACAGAGTATACAAGTATCAATTTTTTTTGTACATGCATATTTTTAAATGTAAATAAACATTAAGTAGTGTAACGTGTTCAAGACACTTTGTCACTTGTCATTTTACTAATAAATGCATCGTTTGTGTATATTTATTAGGTATGATCATAAGAAGCTTTTCTTTGAGACTAAAACGTTTAGTGGTCACTTTTCAAATGATAATGTAAGCACAACTACAAAAACAAAAACTCTCTATGCCCAACAAAAGAGTGAAAACCAAATGAAGAAGAGACACCACTACACCACATAAAACTTAATAATCTGAAAAGGGAACCTAATTTCACTATGTAAGGGCAACCATAGAAAATCACATAATTATTCCACCTAATTGAATAATCGTTAAATCTTAAACACTATTACACCATTAAATCAACTTTCGAACAACAAACAATAATAAAAACTCATTCAATAAAATACATGGTGTAACATCCCAAAATACAGTAATAACCATAAATTAGAATTAATTACATTTAACAGTAAAACCATGCAGTCTTTACACTAAGATTCCAAGTTCAAGGTTTTTCTTTACTTACCGCATAAGGATAAGAACGGTCGTTTTAGACTCCTTAGAGTTCATGCAGTATATGTCCTTGACTTCGGTCCTAGGT